CAACTGGTGATAGTAGTGGTTCCCATAGAAACATACCCTTCATGAATCAAGTTGTGTGATAGGCTAGTTGCGTTACAACAGGATCTACAAAAAGGTCTCCTCTAGGAGAGCTTTCATGCTAGGCACGCAAGGAGCGAGTACTTGGAGACTAACACTACTCAACTTCCAAATCTAAACAAGGTGTTCCCTCTTTTTTTTTTCTAAAGCTCGGGTGTAGAGCTTTACTCATGATACAATCCTAAGATCCAACAGTCACGTATGATAACAAGCATATATAAAAGAGAGAAATAAGATAACAAATACATAAACGATTGGAGAAAACGAGAAGAAAACAAACAAGTGAAGATAATGCTCTTCAAAAATTGCACTAAGTTAGGCTTGACTCTCTCTTGCATGGAGCAATGTATCTTCCCCAGCAAAGTCGCCAGCTGTCGCACCTTGAAAAATACGACCTTCGAACAAATGGTACAAAAAAATTTGGTTCGGACAGAGTCACCACTGAGCTTTATTCATTCCAATGAAGGAATAGGAGAATATCGAGAAAACCTTTAAGAGATAAGAATATGGTCATCGCAACCATTTTTTGGGTTCGGGAGTCAATTACATAAAGGGAATATATTAACACCCTCTATGTCCGTTGTACTTAATAGGAACCTCTTAGTTCCATTTGTGATGAATGTTATTTAAGCTTGTTTGTTTTCTTTTAAACAATTGATGCGAAAAGGTATGAGAAAAGGACTTCGATTGCTAGGGAAAATGGGTGGTTGTTTTTTAGGATGCTCGCCAAGGATTGGGGCCATTGTGCCTACGTATTTTCATTTGGACGAGAATAAAAAACTAGAGCATCCGTAGTTTAGACTACGGGAAAACGGGTTTGGATGGAAACGACATAACAAAGAAAAGGCAACTTGCCAAGGATTGGGGCCCTTGTGCCTACGTATCTTCATTCGGACGAGAATGAAGAATCTGAGCATTCGTAGTTCGTCAAACTACAACTTGAGAATTAATTTTAGAAACGAAAGATTGAACAACTAGCAATCCAAGAGGCGTGCCTCGAGAGCAGTTACTTAAGAACCCAAGGAATGCGAGACTCCAAGAACTCAGTTCTTTCGTAGTTTTATTGCGAAAATGTTTGATTAACAATTAAGTATTTTAATACGAAAGATTGAATAAACAACAACCCAAATCGTGCGCCTCAAGAGTCATTTATTCGAAGGTCCAAGGAATGCGAGACTCCAAAAACCTCTTTCTTTCGTAATTTGATTGAGAAAAGGTTTGAGAAGTGACTGAATTAGATTGGTTGTGAAAAGAGGTGAGGATTGATCCTAGTCCTTAGGGGTGCTCCTAGTAACGAAACCACGAAAGGTGCAAGTGCGTGTGTTAGGTTGATGGCGAGTGCTAATGAGCAATCAACTTACAAGGGTGTTTTGAAAATGGGGCTCGACGATGAATTGAGAATTATTTTGAAAATGGTTTAGTCTATGCAAGTCCCTAGGGGTGCTCCTAGTAAATAAAACCACAATAAAAAAGCGAGTAAAATGCGTACGTCAAAAAGGGAGCGAGGTACATGTAAAGTACACGAGATTGCGAGAAATAAATGAGTAGGTGTCCTAAACTAAGCCCAAGAGAAATTCGCGTGTATGCGAGGTGTCCTAAATTAAGCCACGAACAAGAGTTCAGACAAAAATTTCCTTGCCAAGGTTTCTGTACAAGGTCCAAACTCCACGTCTCATAATAGTAACCACAGTCCACCAATTAATGCTTTTAAGGTTTCGATAATTTTAGCATGTTTTGAATATTATGAACATGGTATGAATAAGATGACAGGATATGAACAGTATGACAATGATAGTATGAGCAAGATATATTGACAGAAAAGTAAAGCAAGATAATATTGAATAGAAACTAAAGTTAGTTGTTAGTGATTAATTGTCATTTCTCGGATGAATCGGGTCCACTATAGCGCTAAACCATTGTAGCACGATCTATGATGAGATCATGTTTAGGAGGCCGCGCAACGACGATGTTTGTGTTAAAACACGATGGAAAAACAATATGTAAATCGTTCTCGATGAATCGTGCAACACGAAAAGAAAAGCGAACAATCTCGTCTTAATCACAAATTTTTGTCGATTACTCGAAGGTAACCTATCATGATTCCAAAGTATAGAAAATAATCTCAATGTTCGTTCACTACAGATTTGAAATAGTGAAGGTTAAACAACCTCAACAATCAGCATTCCTGATATTTAGACTTTATCGACCAAAATCAAAATGAAAATAAAATCAAAACGAAAAATCAAGGTAGAAAGTAAACCATGGAAATAAATTAACAGATCATGAAATAAAATCAAGATCAAATTGTCACAATATAAGCATTTTTTTAGGAAAATAAAGAGGAAACAAAAGGGTGGAATAGAAAAATAAAGGAAAAAAGGAACATGGAAAGGTGTGCGTAGGATGAAAGGGGGTGGATAATGGAATTCACCATGGGGTTTAATCAAAGCCCAACAAGGAAGCATACAAAAACACGGTGATGTCAAAGAAAAAAAAGGAAGATTTTACCCCATACCCCTACCCTTATACCAACACCCCTACACTCAAAAATATTGGACAAAAATACCCTTATTTAAATATCTATAATTTCAAAAAAAATTCACTTTTTCACTTCATTTCCACTTATTTCCATTTCAAGACTTCCGGAGAGCTTTCATCCATCTACAAATCGGAACTCTTCCACCAAGTCTTCCGGAACGCATTTGCTTTTCAATACATACCGAAACTCTAAGAGTAAGTCTTCCGGTGTGTATTTCGCTTTTTTTCTTCACCGGAACTCTTTCCTGAAGACTTCCGGTTCACAAAATTTTGAGTTTCTTCACCGGAACTCTTTCCTGAAGACTTCCGATTCACAAAATTTTGCGTTTCTTCTCCGGATGTCTTTCCTGAAGACTTCCGGTTCATTCATTTATTTTATTTTTTTATTTTTTAATTTCTAATTATATTTATTTATTTATTTATTAATTTTTAATTAAATTGATTTTTTTTCCAGTGGTGCGCACACGAGGCAGAGATGTTAGGATCCCTCGTGGACTAGGACGGGGCGAGTCATCGAGAATGGCAGAAGAGCATTTTGATGCATCTGCATCAGCATCCGAGCCGGTTGGATATCCAGGAGGATCGTATGATACATCTCTGTTAGTTAAGTACGAACAACATGTTGTATACCGTATATGGTTCGGTCAGGTAAGTAAACGAAAATGATTTAATATTGACTAGAATTCGAATTTTTAATATTGAATTTTATAATATATTTACTTTTAATTTTTTTCAGGAGAGAGGGTCGAAGAAAGATCTAAAGGTGGCGGGACATGGGTTGAAATTGGCTCAGAGGGTTCCACTACAGCTACCCAGAAAGATGATGAGATGGATATCTAGGTCTGGTTTAGCTTCACTACAGAGAACCAGTTTAACCAAGATAGACACAAACTTAGTTTCCTCTTTTGCAGAGAGGTGGCATCTAGAGACATCATCATTTCACATGTCGTTTGGTGAGATGACGATTACTCTAGATGACGTATCTTGCCTGCTTCACTTGCCCATCAGGGGAGTTTTCTGGAGCCCTCAAGATATCAGTGAAGCGCTTGTTGTTGAGTGGGTTGTTGATCATTTAGGAGTGCCACAGAGAATAGCACAGCAACAAGTCCGGGAATGCAGGGGTTCCTACTATAAGGTGGAGTGGTTATATGATCTGTTCGTTGAGCATAGAGCTGCATCTAGATGGCATTATGCCACTAGAGCTTATTTGTTGATGTTAGTGGGTTCCACTATTTTCGCGGACAAGACGTTTACGCTTGTCGAGGCACGATACCTCTCATTGTTTATAGACTTGGATGGCTTATCAGGATACAGTTGGGGAGCAGCTGCGTTGGTTACTCTTTACAGATATCTCGGAGATGCTTCCATGTTCAGCTGTAAGCAGCTTGGTGGTTATCTGACTCTCCTATAGGTATTTATTTTAATTTAGTATATTTTTTGTTTTAATAAATTTTATTATGTTATAATTAATTATTTTAAAGTTAATAACCATATTAATTTTGTAACAGTGCTGGATTCATGAGTATTTTCCAACACTTGGAAAAAAGGAGAGAACTCGATACTAGCTAATAATGTGGGTCTCCCTCGAGCGATGAGATGGTCATATAGGCAAGGTGCCTTGAAGGTGGATGAGTTGCGACCTATTCTGGACGAGCTGACACCTGTTGATGTCATATGGCACCCATTCGAGAATCATAGAGTATGGCGTCAGTTCGATGAGCTATGTCTATATAGGGGGTGTCTGAGGTGGGGTGACACTATTGTTCCATACTTGCCCGACAGATGTATGCGTCAGTTTGGATACAGGCAGTATGTTCCATATCCACCTCTTGATCACATGATGGTTGGTGATATTGATGTTGACTGGATTAGTTACCATCAGAGCATTCAGAATGTGATTCGTCTGACAACACCGGCCACCACCCCATACGAGACAGATGATGGATATCTTGAGTGGTATTATCGTGTCTCTCATCCTCGTTTGGTACCGACACCCTATCATGATGCGCCAGCAGAGATGCCAGTTCCTGTATATGAAGCAGGACCATCTAATCCTAGCTGGGCCCGTGTGTCTTTGTTGATTCATCGTTATCTTCAGCAGGCTGGTGCTGAAGATGATGACCCACAGTTTGCGAATTTGTTCGAAGCTTTACATATTGCTCGATCACAGTGACTTATATATGTACTTATGATTATATGTTAACTTTTATACTCATTTGACCTACTTGTTTTATGTTTATGTGTTAACTTTTAAACTCATTTGATCTAGTTGGTTTATGTTTAAGTGTTAACTTGTAGCCTGAAATAAAAAATGAATAACTTAATTCACGATTCATGTTTTGAAATTAAAAACGAGTAACAAAATTCATTATTCATGTTTTGAAATTAAAAATGAGTAACATAATTTATAATGTATAATGTGTTGGTAATATAGGTGTAAGTTGTTGCCAATGTTGTAGACGTCGTGCAAATCCTAGCATCCAAGATGTTGCTACTAGAGAACGAAAATTCTTCCAATCTATTGTCACCGGTGGCAATGGAAACCCTTCTTTCATGTTCACCTAAATAAAAAAATAATCAAAATAGTAAATAAAAATAACGAAAAAGACTTAGGGTTAAGCGCATTATCAAAAAACAACTAAGTACCTGAACCCAATGATTTCCGTTTACAAAACCAATGCAGTAAATTGCTACATTCGGTGAAAATGAAGTTGTCATAGGGAAGAAAGTCCAGCATTCAATTTCTAAACAGACAAGTACAACATTATAACGATTCGCTATCATGTAACCCATATCTAGTAGAGTTAACCATTTATGTGGTGGTTGAGGACCGACTTCCTCTATCATCAAAGATTCTCTCACCACTGCTAACTGATCAGTAAATAAATTGGCATAAAAACTTGATCTTTTATTATGTATTATTTCCAACCCCAAGTCTCGACGAATCATTGACCAACCATCTTCACCCAATCCATGCAATGAAGCAATGACTTTAAATCCATAATTACCATCTGATACAACATTAACTACATCATCAATATATGACCGAATGTGATTAGGAAACTGAAGGATGAACTGCTTAGATGACTGTGATAATTTCAACTTCTTCGAAGCTTGTGATGGTTGGGATTTCTTTTGTGAAGACTGTGATAATTTCAACTTCTTCGAAGTTTGTGATGGTTGCGATTGCATCTGTGAAGATTGAGATGCTTGATCAACATACTCGTGATACAAAAGGTCTCTATAAACATCATATCCTACTGGTTTTTTATCTTTCTTCTTGACTCCCCTTTTAGTTTTTATTTTCTTAGGTGGTGGACACATAGAAGTCATTGTAGGGAAGGCAAGTTCAAAAACCTTACTTTTTAATGCCCTTTTACCAACAACATCCAGTGACTTAAACCTTTTCCATAACTCATCTATTGCACTACTCATATCCACCTTTGATCCATCATCTACGTCTTCATCCAACTTAACTTCCATACTTAGTTTTCTCCAATGAACATGTACAACATCTATTGGTATCGGTATACCATCAATTCTATATCCTGTCAACTCACAAGCACAAGGTAATCCGTAGGTTGTTCTAAGAGTACAACAACATATTTCCTTGTTAGTTCCAACATAATCAACTCGTTTTAACTCTTCAGCAATGCGTCTCAATGCATCTCGAGATACTGAACCACGTAAATTATTGTAAAATGGACTTACGTGGGCGTGCTCAACTTCATAAAAACTCTTTTGAAAAGAAGCTCTAATATTACCCAATTGTAACTTTAAGTTGTCATTCATAGCCTCCCAACATTTGACCATGTCACCAATACTGTTCCCCGACATTTGCTTTAACTTTCAATGAGCAGACTCAACCCTAAAATTAATACAGATTAAAAAAATTTTAAAAAAATTAAAAAAAAATACAATTTATAAATACTAAAAATAAATACATACCGATTAGTCGTGGTGTTACCCAAATGTAGCACTCAATTAATCCATGCTCCAACAAATCTTTGTCTATGTGGTGTCAACCATGTGTCCTTCACATGATCAATAAATTCATTACAATCAACACACGCCTGCTCAAGTTGGTTCAACCTTTGATTATACTCAACCTCGTCACTAGCCCATACAACATCCATCCATAATTCGTCAATTTTCTTTTGCATTTCACTAGCCACATATTGTTTCCGTTTTGCACTAACATTCTTGTTAATATGAAATCGACATAGCATATTGATTGACCTTGGAAACACAATTTCAATGGCTTTCATCAAAGCAAGATCTCTATCTGTCAAAATCACTTGTGGACACAACTCTTTCTTCACAAACAATTGTTTAAGCTTATCTAGCACCCAAAAAAAAGTCTCAATTTTCTCAGACTCAATATAGGAAAATGCGACAGCAAAAGTCAATTTGGTTGATGTCATGCCAACAATTTCAATCAGAGGTTGCCTATATTTATTTGTCTTGTAAGTGCTGTCCATAACTAGCACAATAGGAAAAATATTCAACAATTTAACTGAATCTGGATGAGCCCAAAAGATATCTCTAATTACTTCAGAGTCATCTCTTTTTCTACTCCAATAAACATAACTTGCTTCCTCAATAAGCTTAAACAAATGTTGTATCTCACTTCTAGGACCTCTTATATTTTTTCTATCATACTCTTTTGTTTGTATATTTGCGTGATCCGAGTGACATTATCTGGATCTTGCTCTTGCAATGAAAACAATATATGTTTAGGTGAAACCTTTCTCTTTGTCAAATCAACAACATGTTGCTTCTGATCCGCTGTCAACCTACCGACAAATGCGTGACCTTCTAATCTATCACGTAAATCATGGTTATGAACTCCATATTTTACATCAATCTTCCATCCAGATCCATCAGTCGCTGGAATTGATCTGATTCTAAATGGACATCCACATTTTTTCGTCGCACTCTGGGTTCCACTATCAATATCTCTGTGTTTTCCTCCTTTATCACATCCAAATATTAATTTGTTACTTCTTCCTCTCTGGCCTGTTTTAATATCTGAACGAGTGATGATAACCGTAACTTTATTTCGGATTCCGATCTCTTCAATCCATCTTATTACCTCTTCTCGTGTACCAAATCTTTGAGTTGTTGAAAAAAAATCAGACGTATCTACGCATATCTGATCTTTATCACATTTTTGTAAAGGAATTTCTGAAACTACATAAAAAAAATTCAAAAAAAAATAAAAATAAAAAATTCAAAAAAAAATTTTTTTAAAAAAAATTGGACAACTCGTACCGGAAGTCTTCGTCCAAGAGTTCCGGTAGGAAAAAAAACAAACCGGAAGACTTTTAAAAGTCTTCCGGTTTGTTTTTTTGCCTACTGGAACTCTTGGGCGAAGACTTCCGGTGAACACCCACGCAAATTACAAAACCGGAAGTCTTTCCTGAAGTCTTCCGGTACATTATTTTTATGAACCAGAACTCTTTGCCCATGTGTTCCAGTTTGAGAAAAAAAACCTACCGGAAGTCATTTTCGAAGTCTTCCGGTAGATAGTTGGATGAATTTCTCGGAACTCTTAAAAATATAAAAAATAAAAAAAATAATAAAATATGAAATATATAAGGATAAAATGGGTATTTTTAAAAAAAATGTGGGGTATGAATATAAGTGGGGTAAAATTTCCAAAAAAAAAAGTGTGTAGAGGAAACAAACATGGGTTAAGACATCATCCTATCCAGGCACGATCCAAGTAAACAAAAACAAGGCAATGTTTAACATTATACAACACGGTCAAAACAACATACATTCATTTTTTATTTTAAAGAGTAAAAACAACTTAGAAACATAATAAGGCAATGAAGAGTAAACACAACTCAGTGAGTGAACAAGAACAAAAATAATTCATTTTTAAAACCAAAACAACAAAAAAACAAGACGTGAATAGTTTTCAATGCTAACATATCCGACTTCTCGACATACAACAACCTTCCTCCGCTCGCTTTCTCGTTCAGATTCACTTGCTTCTGCTCGCGATGGCTCAACTCAAGCTTGTAGTTTTGTCTTGGTTTTGATTTGTTTCACTCGTCTCCTCTTTGTTCGTCTTTTTCTCTCTTCTGTCTTGGCTAATTTGTGTGGTTGTTGATTTGGGTTTCGTTTTTGGTCAAACCCTCTCTTATTCCCTTTCTGGTTCATTCTAAAATGATTTGGTTGAGTGGGGTTTTGACTGTGTGTTTTGGGTTGTTGTGGTATTTTGGGTTAATGGTTGTTGAGGTTTAAAAGGTACGAAGGGTTGAGTAGAAGATTGAAGGTTTTGGAGTTTATTGAAAATGATTGATGAAGAGGATGAATTTCTGAATGAGAGGAGATTTCTGCAGCAATCTGGTGGCTATCGAAGCTTTGTTTGAGAGTGAAGGAGAGGTGTTTATATAAGAAGTTCGGAGGATGAAATAGGAAGAAGTGAGAGGAAACATTGTTGATGGTGTGCGTTCTAATGGATTGCCGTTTTAATTTGTTGGTGAATTGGTCGTACAATCTTGTGACATGGATAAATGTTTCTCGTTTTCCTGGTTGCGGTGATGGTTTGTAAAGTTGCATGGAGTTATGGCTATGGTGTGCTAAAAATGAAGTGGTTTGGACCTTTTTTATGTGCAGGATTATATTGTGAATGAATTGCGAATCATGATCATGTTGTGCGTTGGTGTATCAGATGTGTGCGTAATTTGTAATGCTCATAAGTTGGTATTTTTTGTGCTAAGATTTTGGTGATGATGTGCATAAAGATCATGTAACAGTTTTGCGTGTGCGGGCACGAGGTTTATGTTATTATGGTGCGCTGCAGGATATGGCTTCAGGTATTGAGGTTACAGATTGAAGAAAATAAAGGCTTGGACACCGCACATTGTTGTCGTGTTAATGGTGCGAAGTTGTGGCTAGCTTGGAAACGATTTTTTGTTTTGGCTGAATGTTGGTACACGTTGCTCATGAAATTTTTTGTTGCGCGTGGAGTCATGGTTAGTGGCTTGGTTTTGTATATGTCATGTGTTGGACATTGTGAAAGTTGGCCAAAGTTGCAGCTTGAAGTAGCAATGGTTCGTGAATATGAATTGGAATTGTGTGGCTTTATTGTTGGTCTTTTTTCTTCTGCAATTTTGTAATGACATGGGCTTTAAATAATGGGCTTTTGTTGTGATAGCCTTTTTGTTTGGTTTTTGTAAGACAAAATGTAATTTATAATGGGCTTTTATTTTGAAATTGTTTTATGAGCATTTTTTGTGTGTAAGTGGACTTCACCCACTATTTTTTTGAATTTCATGAGCAATACCCTTTTTTGGAAATGGTTGTAATAACAAATGGGCTTTGCCTTTTTTGAACTTTGTAGACTCTTTGCATTATGATGGATACCATGTAATTCTTGATTAATTATGACAACTTGAATTCCCGTGTGGATCCACAAAAATCAAATCCCAAAACTCTTGTATTAAAACTTGAATCGGGCCACCATGAATCGGTCTTGAATTTTGAATTTAAAACCTTGAAAAAATTCTTGAGTAAAAAATGAATCAATTACAAATAAATATCGAGCTTTGCCACTTGCATTGATAAATCAAAATTTTCACCATGAACTAAATACTCAGTCAACAATATGCCTTGAGATCAGAAGATAATGACTTGAGATGTGAACTACACTGCCCAAAACCCTGACTGCAAATGTATTTATCTCCGTTGGCCCTCAATTATGAAATTCCTACTTTGGGTACAATCTAAGAACTAAATTCATTCACAACTGTCCTGACTTGGTACAAAACCCTAGTTGAACCTCAGATACACACACCATATAAATCATGTACCCTGACCTTGATCTTGAAACAAACTCTTGTCTGACCAAACTCAAAACATCACTGTACATACCCTTTTCCTGATAAACTTCAAATTCAATTCAATTCAATTCAACCTTGTGATACCCTGATTTGGGTAATAAGCACAAGCAACATATGTTTTTTTTTTTTTTTTAATTTTCTGAATAATGGTTAGTGGATGGAAAGACAAATGAAGATAACATATAAGTAGGATAAATTTGGGGTATGACACTATGTTGTAAAACTTTGTATATTTGCATGGCTCTAAACATGTTGACACATATCATTACGGGTTGATCATAAACATTTGAATACTTCATTTTTAGGCAAATGTGGGAAATCATGATGTCAAGGGTTGTAACGAATAGTCTCCCTATGACGCAGTTGTACACACTTTTGTACGGGACTATCACAAATTGTAGATCTACCATTATGACGTTTCTTCCTTTTTTGAATGTGACTATAAGATCTACGAAGCCTCATTGACAAGTTGCCGTGTTGTTGAAATCTTGCAAGTCAAAGCCCGTATAAGGTGATAGTTTTTCTTTCTTCATCATAGACATTGTGGTACTTCATTTTTAGGTGAATGGGGAAGCCAAGATGTCAAGGGTTGCAGCAAATGGTCTCCCTATGACACAATTGTACATAGTTTTGCATGAGACTATCATGAATTATATATCTAACATGTGTATCTTCCTTTTCCAAATGTGACTATAAGATCTACAATGCCCCACTAACAAGTTACCGTGTCGTTGAAATCTTGCAGGTCAGAGCTCGTATAAGGTGATATTTTTTCTTTCTCTAACATATATTTTTAAAGAGATCGGCAAGCATAATATCAAATGAGCTTCCTTCAACAATGAGTATTTTGAAACGTCAAAATTGGCCATGGTTGGTGTTATAACCAAAGGAAAAAAATCAATTGGGGACCCGCATACCTTCTCACTATCATTGTATTCGAGAATTGGTAGGTCTCTCGGATTTTTCTCTAGGGGGTTATTT